GTATATATGTAATAATGTGGAAAACTTCCTTTCACTGTGAACATTTTTCCGCTAAAATAAATTCCAGTGAAAATGCCATTTCCCTCATACTCTATTGAGACTTGACACAGCACAGTGAAAATTTGATTCACACCGTATGCTTGAAAACTTTTCATCGAAAATAAATTAAGTGAAATTCTGTGTGATTTCATGAGAGTTGAAAATGAAAAAATTATATGACACCCAACCCTACCACTCCATACACAATGTAACCACACCTCAAAAACATCCTTTCACCAGTGTATTCTATTTGAATTCAGGAGAAATTTAAATAAACAAATTATATGACAACGAACTTAATTATAATTTCAACCTCTAGTTCAGCACTGATTAAATAAACTACCTCGTCTTTATGCCAACTTGAAGTTATTCAATGCCTACACCAGTGACTTCAAAATCTATGTTTCAATTCCAGGAATTTCACTTGCTATTAATTGTATGGGAGTGCCAGTCTTTCATGAATTTCTATTGTCATGTCAATTTCTTGTGATTACTCGGAAAATGAAGCTGTAACCACAGACCACAGTGCTGCAACTAAATCCTGGTATAAGCACCGGTTAGGCAGTCTTGAACTATGCATGTGAAGCCAGCTGAGAGGTATATCCAATCCTATAGATTTCTCATTGTTTGGTAACTATTTGCTGCAAATGCAACAAAAATCAATATAAAAATATTACCCACACAGCATTCTACAGGTTACTTGTTATTATTATTATTACCTCATGGGTTACATCTTTCACTGCAGTTTTTTCCACTATGTATATCTTTGCATATTCTTCACTGGGTCCCATGTTTACTCTTTCCAATAATGGAAAATCTGTTTGTTTCATGTGCATAGTTTCTGTGAATAGAACAATAACATATAACAATGACATAGAACAATAGCATATAACAATGACATAGAACAATAGCATATAACAATGACATAGAACAATAGCATATAACAATAACCTATACATAATAACATTGAGAACAATATCAGAAGTCTGATTTAGCACATTTGGTGAAATGGGAAATTCAAATAATCAATAATTTGTTAAATGTTACAGAATAGAAATAGGGTAGCATCAGTGAAACACAACTACATGTACGCACAGCACCCCACATGCGGTTATAGCGCCCTCAGGTGGTTCTATACGTGTTTTACCATTGTGTTGTATACATTAACAGGGGACCCATATTGAACACAACGTGATGTGACAACTGTAGCGTTTTAATTCAAAGCCAGATGTTACACTTTCAGATCTAGGTGAGTAAAAAAAAAGGATGACAATCTTCTACGGTGTACTAGTATTCTACTTGAGGTAGTTTGAGCCAAATTCAAATTCACACAAGGGGTATGTAGGGGTATACTTAAGTGCTGATCACCCCATCCTTGACCAAGTGGTTCTTTCCTGAACACAGTCTGTTATGAGTCATATGATGCTTTCAGACCAGGTCATGTATAGCACATACCTCTACACATGCTGCCTTGCATGATGGGTGTTTCCCTCAAAGGCTAGGCCCACTGCCGAAACAGTGGATTGGTGTCAGGAAGGGCATCCGGCCAATTATCTCATGCTCCAAAAAACCTTAAATGGCAGTTACAGATTGCCACTAGTTTAAGGTGAATCCGGCCACCCTCGTCTTCGGGGACCAAACCGGATTTAAAACTCTGGACTACTACTACACAACATAGTGTAAAAATCACTGGTAACGACCTCAACCCTGAGATGGAAACGTGTAAACAAGATCTGAGGATTAAAACAATGCCCTCTTTCAACAACCTAATAGTAGGTGAATAAAGCCAAGGTAAATATAAATCGCAGGAACAGAATAGTACTGTTCACACTACACGAAGTACCGGGTACAATTTAAGATAATCTCATATGTTTGCATATCGAATAGACCCAATTGTGTTCATGCACGGATGGAAACATCGGTTAGATTAGAAAAACAATTATTTTTTCACGTCGATGTAGCATTGCAAAAAAAGAAAAACGCTTGCAGCAGCACATAGATATGCGTTGCTGATGACGGTTTGCATTCATTCATTACTACAGCATTCAACCATATCTAGCTGAACTGCGTCATGTTATAGTAGTATGAATCAGTATATGTTATCTTAAATTCACCACTGAGGGCGTGATTTTGGTTCATGACATACGTTCAGGCAGCAAATCTTAGTATGTGCCAAGTTTCGATCCCGAGCATCTATTGATACTCAGATTGAGTACTTTTCGTCAGTCCCGAACGTTCACATGCACTTCAACAAGTGCGAACAAGGCTTTTTGTGAGTACCTCCTGTTTCTTTAACTTTACAGAGCATGAATTCTTCTGGTGTATTCTCCACTGCAAACTTTAGTAAGAGTGATCCAATGACCTCTGGGGCAGTCATAAGACTATTTACACGTACATTAGTAACACTACCATGAGTAGGAGTAAACACAGCTGTCTGTAAATAACAACAATAAATAATAATAAACATCTCTCAAATCAATGCCAAAGGGCGAGGTTTGTAAGCAAACCTTATACCACATTATAAAACATCAAAAACAAGAGAATTTACTGTTCCATAAAAAACTTATATATATCATACACTACATAATGCCCGATTCATAATCCTATGAGAAAGCTGATGAGTGAGCTGTGTAATAATTTTCAAAATCATGACTCGCCCCATTTGACCATAATTGAATTAATAATTGCACATTAATAGAGAAATAATTTATGCAAAAATAAACTTGTGCATCCTGCCTATGTTTTCTATGCCTCTATTATAGGTGAGATGATGTTGATATTGATGATATTATTTTATATTGCAGATTGTCTTTTACTTTTGATTGCTTGGATACTAGTACTTTAGTGAGAAGATATGTTTAGTTTTATACTTGCTCAATGTATTTTTAATCACATTTATGTGAACATTAAATGAATGCATTTTTCATTCACATATGTGGAGATTAAAAAAAATAGAATTCACATTTTTGGAGTATATTTTTAGACAGGCTGTTAGGAAAGACTGCCACAACCTCTGATCCTAACATGAGAATGACTAGTTAAAGCGGGGGGAGTTGTCACCTGCACATGCGTCAGATGGCCATAGCGTGTCATTGTTTACAAACAAGCATCTACCCATGAGCCTTTGTGTTTTTAGCATGTGTTGTTATCGTCGATTGGGACTCAATTCCCACGGGTGCGCAGGTGACGAACCTCCCGCTTTAAATATTACCTACCTCTTTATTATAATAGTGTCCACTGAATGACATTTTTCGTCTTCTCTGCAAACTTTTTGCTCTACTTGGTATATTCTGCACTTTAGGCCTTGACTGGTTGATCATACTTTTAGAACGTACAAGATTCTCTTTGCTACCTAATTCAGGTTCATCCTTCGTTAAAATCTTCTCAGTTTTAAACACATCACCTCGGCTGTTAAAGAAATCACTTTTCTGTTTTGAGAAGAGATCGTTAGTTCTATCACGCAAACTTCCAGCACTGAGTAAACTCTCACCGATTCCACGTGTACGTAAACTTCCAAATTCAGGATTCCGCAAACCTGAGGCACGAGGAAGACTGTCAAAGTCTTTGAATGCAGCTCCGTTTTGGTTCACGCTACGTGTTGATGTTGAAGACGTTGAGTATGTAACTTTCTTAGTTTGTAACTGTTTACGAATTCCTGATGGCGACTGCGATTCCTTTACTTCATGTACAACATCTTTCTTGCTTTTAACTTCTTGCTTTTCTTTTCTAAAAGCTCCCTTTTCTTTATCTACTTCATCTGTCTCGCTTACAAATTCTTTCTCAAATTTAAGATTCTGTTTTTCCCTCCTCATATCCTTCTCTGTTTTCACATCAACAGAACCTTTCGCAGTCTCTTTATTTTGAAATGTTTCTTTCTTCACTTTTCTGATATCATTTTTATCTTTACCGACTTCAACCTCGCTAGTTTCTTCACCCATGTCTTCCTCGGCATTAATTTCAATCTGACTGTCTCGTAACAAGTGTCTGTTTCGTTTAGTTGCATCTCCCATTGCCTGCATCAATTTCTCTTCAAGTCCACTATCAAATATCATACTATTACCACGTCTCTTCCATGTTGCCTGTTCTTTTTTCAGATTGATTGGTGCTTTCACTCCCCAGTAAATTTTCAAGACTCCTTCAAGCACGGGAACTCCTGTATCCTATGAACCAATAATGAGTTGTAAATGAGGAGAAAACTTGCATGCATGATGACAATAGGGTGTGCATGCACTTAATAAACATGAAGTGCCTAACTACCACTTTTGAAATGAATTTGAGAGTGTCTAACTACCTCTTGATCAAAAACAGCTTCATCATCTTGATACAATTTGTTTATTTCCATAGCATGATGCAATGGTTCTTATTGACTCAGACATTTGAGTTTATTCAGGAAATCTTAAGTCCCTGTTCGGATGAAATGTCAATTTTTGCCATTCCACGTAAGGCTTGGTTTTGTTCAAACTTGTTCAATCTCAGACATTCTCTGACTAAACATTTTCATATTTAGATATACATCATGTCTCACATATGCACATGTATTACGGTAAGTTGACAATTCAATTCAAGATGACCGAATGGTGGTCATTTAATGCTAAAAGAGTCACTTTCTCGAAATCGGTTTTTAGTTATGTAAATGTATGTATGTTTTGTTCAAACTTGGATTGTTTTAACTAGGCAGGAATCTCCCTCTATTTCGCATGTACATGCATCAAACAGACGGAAATAAGTCTAAAGTCTAAACAGTCCAAGTCACTGCACAAGCTCAAACGTGTAATTGTCGTTCTTTTATTTACTCAGTACATGCCTTTACTGACTTTAGTGTACCACCAAATAAAATATATCACATTTATGAGCTAAATAAATTGGTAACAAATTAATTTCCTAACTAATTATTAACAATAGTTGCATACCTCTTTGAGCATTAGGTGTCCGTATTTTCCCTCATAGAACTCGTTGTATTCTCGTAGTTTGGACTTTACATCAATCCTAAACAATATAGATACACATAAGTGATATAGAACAATGAAAAACAAAAATTCTGAAAACAAAAACGTCCACTATTGTAAACGTATAGCTGCCAAAGCAGAATGACCCAGGGTATCAGATTGGTAATAACTTAATAGCAAAATACATAGCAAAATATTATGAAAAGGAGTCTTCTAAAAAAATGTATGTGTTGTTAAAGGGATTAAGTTTCACTATTTCGAAGTTTGGAACATATTCACTGTGTTTCAGTAAACAATTAGTTCTAGAATAATTTTACATATTCATGGGTTTTTAATTTAATTAGGGAACAAACATTTGAAATCATGGGGGTGGGTACTGGAAACATATGACTGTACTCTATATTTTTATTGTTGCTGAATTCTCTCAACAATTGTTCCGACAACAACAACAACAACAACATCATGCAACCTTTTCTCTCTCGGTGCCTAGCTTGCAATTTTTTTCTTTTAAGAAATCTTCCGGCCACCCCCCCACGATTTTAAATGGACGACCCCTTATGAGCAAAATTTAAACTGAGTGAATAAATAATGTTTTTTGTCAAGTTAGAACTTAAATCAGATCTTTGTTCATAAGAGGATAATAAGAAAACAACTATCAGAGATAGTGTGCCCTCTATTGAACAGAACTGATTCTCAGAAGGATTCTTGAGCCATAATTAAACTCTACAAGTCATTTGGAGTATTAAAATGTAGAGAGAGAGAGAGCTATTAAAGACAAAAATAGGAATTCTTCTGCACTTTTTTCATATATTCTACAATAATTCTGGAAATGAACCCTAATTTTGGAGCCAACAGACAAAATTTGAATCAATATTCAGTTCTTACTCGAACAATTTTGCTATTTTCGTCCCAAAGGAAATTGCAGACTATAAACAGGTCTAATTTTGTGAATTTCTGATGAAAAGAGGGAACTGGTGGTGAAAAGGCGAAACTGTTGTGACACAATTTCCATTGATTTTATACTTTTATAAAATGTGAATTTCATTTTACCAAATTACAAATTGCATAACAATAGTAAGACATATTTGAAAATCTATGTAAGATTTTTGCGTTACAAAAAATATCAAATCAGCTCAAAGCACACATACATGCACTTGCATTGAAAATGATGACTATAACAATAGTAAGACATATTTGAAGATCTATGTAAGATTTTTTGTAGCGTTATTAGTACGCCAGTGAATGAGCATAACCAGTTGCGTCACGAAAAATATCATATCAGCTCAAAGCACACATGAACTGGCATTGAAAATGATGTCATATTTTTGTTCTTGACCTAAAATACAAGTTACAATTTCACGGTTATCCCTTTGAACCATAAAATATTGGTGTAGTATTTTCTACATTTTTAAATACGCTCTGTCTTTTGTGTACGTTTCGAGAAATAATAGTTGACAACAGGGGATTTTTTGTGTTTACTGCAAGATCTCACATAATTCTAGAAGATGCAGATTGAACATCTGCCGCAAAAAATTGAATGATTTGAATGTCATTTTTATTCAGAGACGAATATGGTGACATACCGTTACTTTATCAAAACTGAACATCAACAAATGCGTATACTGTAGAATACTTTATTTTCGCTTGGAATTTATTTTTCGCTATTTTCGCTTAAGGGATGATTTCGTGAAAATAAAATCCGGCGAATATACTTGTTTTCCTATATTTCACATTCAATTCATCAAAAATCAGTGAAAATAAATTCCATACAAAACGCCCAAAATGCCTTTTCAGTGAAAATTAATTCCAGCTAAAATAAAGTATTTCACAATAGTACATTATTAAGCCTGGAAACACACAAAAAAACCACTTTAGTGATTGTTGAATCTCATGCAAAGTTTTAATGTTTTTTACGTCTCATTTTATGCTCAACCCAATATTTTGCAGTGAACGGAAAATGATATATTCTGGGCCATGTAAAATGTCATAATAATACACATATGTACATATAAACTTTTATGACATTTTCTGTCAATGCCCTCTCCCTCCCCCCCCCCATTGATTTTGGCATGATGGGGAGGCTTTCAGTGGGCAATGTGTTGAATCATCTAAATCAAGGCAAAATCAGCTTACTTTGTTGCAATTTCTTGATATAGTTGTAAAACTTCTAGTTTTTCCCATTGCTGTTTTTGGTCTTCTTTACCCATTGGAGTAGGTTCCGCCATCACTTTGATATTTCTGTAGTTACTAGAAAAACAATATTACATATACTACAAGATTATTAAAGAATACCACAAGGTATACATCAACCAACATGTACTGTAAAATACTTTATTTTAGCTGGAATTAATTTTTGCTGAAAAGACTTTTTAGGTGTTTTATGTATGGAATTAATTTTCACTGATTTTTGACAAGTTGAATGTAAAATATAGGAAAAAAGGTATATTCACTGGATTTTAATTTCACTGTATCATCCCTTCAACGATAAATTAATTCCAAGCGAAAATAAAGTATTCTACAGTAGCTTGTAACCATAATTTAGTAAGTGATTATAACAGCTTGGATCATGTCCTTGTGTCTGCATGATCATTTGCGTTTAGACAACGTAATTCTATTTCAGTCCTGCTACATTGCATCCAATGCAAACAAAGGAAAGCGTTCATAGGTGACATAAAATATAAGGAAGACATTCAAACGTGTTCGTGTTCGTAACACTTTCGAAGATGTCCATACAGTGTTTTCTGGAATGATTAATTAATTACACTCTTATAAAATATTTTGAGAAAATACAATTGATGTTGTATAAAATAATATTAATTAATATTAATATTAATTAAGCTGTCAACCAGGCAATGGTAACAAGAAGACTAGCTAATACATTACAATGAATAGAAGCACTAATTATTCAGTATTGCAACAAATTTTATAAATTTACTCCTAATAGAACACGTTTTGTTGCAGTTTTAACATTCCCCGTATTCCATGAATGTTTCACCTTGCTTAGTGACTGGTTAGGGAAAATTAATATTGTCACAACAGATCTCGAGCTATATTGCTGATCAGTGAGTGGCGTTAGCATGCTGGTAAGCAGATATGTAAACATATGACATCATAGTGCATTGGCCATACTATGTATATCTCATGGTTCACTAGCTTTATGCATTGGCTAATAAAAATACCGTATTTAATCAGAAAAGCATGGCTAAAATACTGTATAGTTAGCTGGAATTAATTTTTGCTGAAAAGACTTTTTGGATATTTTGTATGGAATGAATGAATGTAAAATATAATAATAATAACTTTATTACACTACTAAAAACCTTCAGAAGGTTTTTGTATGGTAAGGAACATAAATACAAAGAAATAAAAAAACATACAATACATAAGAGATAAAAATAAAATGTTAGTAAAATAAAAGAAAAAATAAATCAATTACTTTCTGTGGTTTTAAAAATTGTGCTCTTTAAGTATTTTGCTAAAGCTATATTACTGTAAAATGACTAATTTTCACTGGGTTTAAATTTCACTGATTTACCATTTCAGGCATATTCAGTGGGTTTTAAATTCACGGTTTCGTCATTTAGATAATGTGTTTTATGCTAAATTTTACATATTCACTGGGTTTTAATTTAGCGCATTTTCCCAGTCAGCGAAATAAGCTAAATTAAAACCCAGTGAATAATTACCCCCTTTACAGTATTCTCCATAATCTTTTTAAATATGGAATTCACATCCATTGTGTAAATATTTATTGCACACTCATCAAACAGTTTTTTTCTTTGTTCTATATAGCCAGTACAAAATAGCAGGAAATGTTTTTCATCTCCTAATGCTTTAGTGTTACATTTATTACAGTGTCTATTTTCTAATTCTATTTTGTGCTTTGTTCTTCTACCTAATTCTATTTCTAAGTTGTGGTCACTCAGACGGAATTTTGAAAGCATTTTCCTGAGGCTGAAATTTGAAATGTTTTGCAAATAATTTTCCATATTATAACTTACTTTGAATAGTTTGTATGTTCTCAGTTTTGTTCCCCTATTTTCATTGGTTTCACTGAAATTTAGTTCTTCTCTCCATCTTTGAATATAAATCTCAGATAGTCTAGGGAAAACGGTATTCTTGCTTGATTCTATTTTCACTAAAGCATTCCTTCAGCGAAAATAGCGAAAATTAATTCCAAGCAAAAATAAATTATTCTACAGTACATGAAAGTTTTGGTTAAATGTGAAGTTAGTGATAACATTATTGCCTGCATTACAGCTGCACTATCAGTATATATATTTCACAATTTTTTCTTGAATTACTGTAAAATATTTTCGCTTAGAATTTATTTTCGCTGAAAGAATGATTCAGTGAAAATAAAATCCAGCGAATATACTTTTTTTTCATATATTTTACATTCAACTCATCAAAAATCAGTGAAAATAAATTCCACACAAAACACCCACAAAGTCTTTTCAGCGAAAATTAATTCCAGTTAAAATAAAGTAATTCACAGTATACAATTTCATGTTGTCTTTTACTGGATGACATTTTCCCAACCCTGATGCCACAAGCCTGGCGTGTACTCTCTTCTTTTCCACTGCTGATTGGGACAACAGGCACACATAGAATACATGTGCCTGTAAATCCAGACACAGTGTTTATTACATGTACAGTATTGTACTTACCAATACAATGTACAAGAGATAAATTTCTTGACTTGAAAAGTTCCACAGGAGTAATTAACCACTGTGATATACTGAATTTGTTGACATAGTTTGTGAAATATGAGATACCTTCTACCATCTTTCATCACTATTATAATCTCTATTAGGAGTGATCTACTGAAGATGGTGACAGCTGGCATACCAGCTGTATTATTGGTGAAGATTAGGCATCCAAATGTACATGTATCCATGGCAACCACTATTTCTGTTTTTTCATTTTGAGAATAATTTTAAATAACTAAATTTTTCTTCAGTTTTGTTGAAATTTGAACTCAAATGCAATTACTATGACTGCAAGAAAAAATGGAATAGCACTACCAAAGACACTGTTATAATATAAGTAATACCTTATATCTATATAGCTTACAGTGTAGCCATTGCTTCCTATGGCAACACTTTATGTTTCTCTCAATCAGCATCTTCATGAATATTTAAACACATGTAGAAACAAATGCTATTGGTGATAAAACTGATTGCTATGTAAATATCACAGTAAATGCTTTTTTACTGCATCCCTTCAGATTTTGCAGCCTTTACTGTACGCAATTGTTAAACTTACCAGACAGACGTTTTCTTGATATGTGGTCATATGGTTTTGTTTAATATCTCATGACCACATGACCTTGAATTTAATACTCCAAATATTTTGTATTTCAATATTTAGTGCCTTTCACATATAATGTAAGAAATAGCCAAAACTTGTAGAGCAAAATCAAACATTGAACAGATAGGACAAAAACTTGCAATTATAAGCAAAGTGAAAGAACATCTTAATAATAATGTTTAATAATAATAATAATAATAATAATAATAATAATAATAATAATAATCAAAATTTTGGTGTAACATTTTGCAAATTTGTATGTAATTAATTTCTAATTAATTTTCTAATTTACTAATTAACTCATTTATTTATTTAGATTGTTTTAGAGAAAGAATTTTAAGAATGTTTACAAAGAGAGAAAAGAATACATTATTCCTAGAGAATAAAATACAAATTTACGATTTATTTTTTTTATAGAAAATTATCATAGAAAACAATAATGGTAACTTCAGAACTTATTTTGAAGATTTTTTGTGTTACTTGTTCCTAAAGTATAATTATGCGTTATATCGGGACGTAGCCTGGTATGCATCCGTATATGCACATACGAAAGTGATTTATAATTTGCAGTCATTGGACAATCCTAGATGACATGAATTCTTTGTTTGCATTAATGAGACACAGGGAACCCTTGAAAGGTAAGTTACCGGGAAGTCAAAGTGACAATATAAAAACTGATGAAACCTTTGACCGCTGCAGACACACCACTGAACTGTCAGACCATAAGGAAGCAGATAATGAACAAACAAACAGTTATGTTAAATTGGAGCATGCTCTAGAGATAAGGTTGCCATGGCTAGGTCAGTATGGATGTTTGCCAGAATACAGCATGCCAAGGTGATGGCAGTGGGTACAATGATTCCAATGTCAGTTGTACAATTGGCAAGGAAGTGTTAAGATGACAGTTGTTATTGATGATGTCATCAGAAGTTGACCTTATAATCAGGTCATGGAATCAAATAAAGAAAAGGCGAAGTCAAAATAATTCCTATTGTTTCAAATTTGTACGGCTATATAGTGATTACCGGGTACTAATATAATTGGCCATCATTGTCATTGACCAACAATTCAAGTTTAAATGCATGTTTAGCCTGTACTGTAGTGAATGACCACAAAGCAGTGGGAACACACTCGATCACCACATGTCCTCATAAGCTGTTTTCATACAGCTCTTGGTTGTATTTTTGACTTTTAACGACTGTTCTAGAAAATTCATCTAATCACATTTAAGCTTATGGGCTACCATTAAAAATTACATAAAATCAAAACAAACAAGCCATGCATGGCACAGTCCCCGTTAGTTATCGAATTTAAGATATATAGTTTTAGTAATATAGCTGGAACATAAACATGTCAGGAATATGATTATGATGATTGCTTAACATTTAAATGATTGACATTTGTATATGATCGTCAAACGAGTATTGAGAGATATTGCTCTGGAACAGCATTAATTAAAACAAAATCAGCCATTTTGAATACATGTATAATGAATATTTAAAATTTAAACATAATCAGTCACAGCAAGTCAGAGATATGGCATTAGAACCACATTCATTAAAACAAACGGACATCAAAACATAAGTCCCTGTTTTCGGACTGCGTCCGAACGGGGACTAAGAAAGTGTGATCACTGAACTACTTTTGAAAATACCGTAGCCATTTTTGAGCCATTTACCATTGGTTCCTATGACAAAAAGTTTAAGTCAAATTCAAAATTGTGTTTGGGTACATAAAGTGAAATAATCATATTCAGTTATAATACAATTATTTATCTGGAATTATTGCAAAATTCTGAGGAATACTGAATTAGAAGCCATGACTTTGTTAAAATGTTACAATGCAACAGAGGAGATGAGAAATAGTGAATTTTGGGTTTTCAATTGTTTTCTCAAAAATGTGCGCAGCTTCTAACAGGAATGCAGCTTTGAGTT